CGGTTCGGACACGCAGCGTCACCCCTCTGTCCGGAGTGTGGCAACGTCGATGAAACGCCGGAGCATGTGGTCTTTGACTGTCCAAGGTTCGAGGCAGTGCGAACGGAGATGCCCGTCCTTAACGTGGAGAATGTCGTCGTTGAAATGTGTCGAGAGGAGGACACTTGGAATGCCGTTAGCAGAGCAGTCACGCAGATTATGTCGGAGCTGCAGCCTAAATGGAGAGAAGAGCAGCGATCTAGCAACGCCAGCTAGCGCTGAGAGTACGACAAGTGCATGAGCACAGCCACCCCTCGAAGTAGTCGCTTTACAGTGGTCCCGGGGGGATCCAGGCAGAGGAGAAAGTAAGGAATGGGTTTTAGTGGAGCTGTACTAGGCAACTAGTGGATACCACACCGTGCCAACTTCACTACAGGCTAGGCTTCTTGAAGCTTTCCTAAACCTTACTATAAAAAAAGAAAAAAAAAAACACATGCATAACGTACATAATTTTCAACTAGCCCCTCAACCCCCCTCCCCCTGCTTTGATTTTGCCACCACTGCACATTTAATTCTAGAAAAATGTCATTATTGAGCTAGACAATCAATAAAATACGAATACGACTGTACAAAACAGTCCACCTCAACCAAAACTAATTGAATCATATAGGCTGACAAAATCGGGTCAAAAAGCTGACAAAATCGGGGGTAGACAAAATCGGGGGCTGACAAAATCGGGTCACCACTGTATATTGGAACACTTCTCAAAATTACCTTTATGCTTATATTCCATTGAAGTTCTTCTCCTGATTCGCTAGAATCTCCTCAAAACTTACTTGGAATTTTCTCCATAATACTCTAGCAAATGCTTCAGAGTGTCAGAATCCTAAAAGGTTGACCAAGTCCAAGGGTCACAATCTTTCCATAAATCTAATATCTTTAAAATACGACAGATTTGAATTTAGAATGCGACCACTTTCACGAGCCATCCGAAACACGGTCAAAAGTGACCAATGTACTCATGGACACTTAATATTACCACCATTTACCGTATATTCTTAACCGTATGTGTTTTCATGCGTTGCGTGATGGTGCGATACAATTTTGAGCCATTCTGTGATAACTACCACACATATTCCTGAACATATTCTGGAAACATTTCAGAACTTGAGGACCATTTCAGAAATGGGATAGAGCAGAATAAGTTGGGGCAAAAGTTCGACCTTAGTAAAATTAAAATAAAATTTGTAAAAACAACATGCTTTAGGAATAAAGCTAATTCCATACACAGGATCAAAGTTTATAACTTTCTCTTACAGTACTTTGATGATTTTTCAGTCCATTGCTAGCTGGAACATTTTGTTCGGAAGAGTGTTCAAAACGAAGGATGTAAAGATGTACCATCGTTAATTAAGCGCAAAAAAGTATGCAATTCATTACTTGAACGAGCCATGATGAAGATTCCAACCCCTTGCATCGAAACGTTGGCTAAGAACTTTTTCTTAACGAAACAAAATTGTTGAAATTTCGAGATCTTCAAGTTTCTCCGAAATATCAGACTTTTCTAAAGTATTTAGTGCTTCCCTAAAGTCATTTGAATAGCCCTTAGGATCTCTGAAATTCAACAATGTTTCTATACTTCCTTCAAATTATCAGAATATTTTGAAAGTTACCGCAATTTTCATTAAGTTGATTGAACTGCCTTGGACTTATTTGATCTATTCTTAAGTTCCCAAAATTTTCCTGAAGTTTTTTAAAGTTCCTAGAAGCTCATGGCAGTTCTCTTAAAGTCTTTAAACTGCCCTGAACTTTCTGGACCGGTCAAAAATTTCCATTCCATAATGAATATCCCTACGTTAGTTTTAAGTAATTTAAGTAATTTCTGAACAATGAATTTCGGCTCCGCAAAGCTACAGCAAATGAGCCTGGAAAACTAAACGCATTATATATAAGAAAATCTCTGTTGTGCCATGGAGTTTCCTGGTATCTATGGAACTTCCTTTATTTCCCTGATATTTTGCGAACATTCCTGAAATTCTTAGAATTTTCCATGAGTAACCAAAAGTAACCAAACCATGAGTAACCATTGATCTTCCACTTAATTTTTTCTGACAACAATGAAACTGCCTAAAACTGTCTAAACTCCTCTGGAGTTCTTTGGACCTAACCTGAAGCTCTCGCAATTCTTCTCAAATTCATGGTACTGCCCTGCAATAAATGAAACTATCCCAAAACATATTTAAACTTTCCTGAAAATCTTTGGACCTTAGTAAAGTTTTCAATATATGTCTTAAGTTTTCTTAACTGCTCAGAAATTGTTAGGACTTTCATTAAATATTGGGTACTTCTTAAAGTTTCTCAAAAATATCTTAAATTTAGAGAGATTTTCAGAATTTATCTAAACTAATCTTTGCAGATCTTCGAAATTCCCGAGAGTTTAAGTTTACCTTAAGTTATTAGAATTACTTTTACAATCTTGAAGATCTCTACACCTAACATCTCTGAGGCTCTTGAAACTTTTTTAAATTATTCTCTGAACTTCTCTGAAGGTTTCTTGACTTCCATGAAGCTCTCTGAATATCCCTGAAGTACATAGAAGTTCATAGTACATAGAATTGTAGCACGACTGAGACAAAGTTGTAGGGAAAATAGTGTTTCAAAGATCCAGAATGGACGTATTTTTGAAAACTGTGAATCATTGCCCACAACAAACAGTTATAAAAAGTTTTATACGTTCACTCTACAAACTCTGCGTGAATCTACTTCAAACCATTTTAGCAAGACACTGCACGAATTTATTTTTCAGGTACAATATTGCCAGAAGGAACCCAGAAAACATTGATAGTTCTATAAAGGTTACAATACAATGATAGAACGAAAATTGTTACTTTGGTAGTAACCTAACCATTACTGCGAGAAACAAATTCAATATCATCAGTTCTGTCACGCTAACTAGCTTCTCTGATCAAACGAATAGTTTGAAACGATTACAGGGTGCCACAAATGGTTTATGAATTGTTTTACGTCCTGTGGGAATTAAAATTAGAATTAGAATGTTATTAGAAAGCATGGAGGGGGGTCTGGCTTTAGTCCACTTTGACCCTACTGTAAAGATCCCAAATAAAATTTCAGTCAGGGTGGCCAGTGAATTTTCATTTTTAAATGCCCGGGTTTTTCCCAGTTTTCCCGGTTCAAATCTTTAAAAAATCCTGGTTGTTAATATTCAACAAAAATGCCAAATTGAACCCAATTTTAGGAACGTGCTCAAAGGAATTTACTGAAAGGATAAAAAATGTGATTTAAGAAGATTCCCAAGATTTTGAGTAGTGTCTTACAAATGGAACTTTTTTTTTCAAAATTTATGATTAATAACAATCTTCGAGATGCAAGTTTTGGAGTAAGAATAATTAAAATGTGAGATTTTGAAAAAAATTCAAGATCACAGCTTTGAAAAAAAATCATACTTGGGGCTGTTCATAAACTACGTAGACAGTTTTTTGGGATTCTTGACCCCCCCCCCCCTGCGTAGACAATTGTCCATACACAAATTTTAAAATTTGTATGGTCCATGGATAATTGTCAACCCCCCCTAAACTGTCTACGTAGTTTATGAACAGCCCTCTTATGAGTCGTGGAGTCATAATTGTCACGCTCTAAGACTTTGAAGCATTTTAAGGGTTATAACATATTACATAATAATCTATGTAATATAGCGGACAAACCCTAGAATTTTTAGTAAAATTTAAAATAATTCAAAGTGTTGATTTCAAACAAATATTGAGAAGGATTCCCACACAGTTTTCGAAGGAAAAGTTTTGAGCAGATTTCCAGAATTATTCTGACATGAAAACCCTAGACATTGCTAGATGAATTTGGAAGGATTTCTGTGGAGAAGAATGCAAGTTCTAAATTAAATTTGTAAGTAATTTAAGACGATTTAAAATGAGTTGTGAAAAACAAAACTTTGCGGAAAATTCCTACGTGATTCTGAGGAGACTTGTATGGGTATCGAGAGGAAAATGACAGATGAATTTTATGAAGAATTCCAAGGGAATAATGATCAGAATTCAACTAGAAACAGAGTTTTTAGAAAGTTCTGGCAGCAATTTCAACCCTTAAACGAAAGATTCATCACAGATTTCAACAAAATTGATTGCAAAAAATTTGCTGATATTTAGAATGAAATTCTTTAAAACTACTCTAAGGGGTTTCTAAATAAAATTTTGAAAAATTTCTGCTGTTTTTAATAGTTAAAAGAAATTTTTGAAAGCATTGTCAAAGAAATCAAAGTCTCCGGATAGGCTCAAGGGACGGTTTCAACGGTATTAATACGCAGAGTGTATTCTAGTTTATTTCAGAACCATAACAAAATAATTCAGAGCAGAATCCTAAGTTAATTCTGGAGTTCATCATGAGAATTTTGAACAACGAAAAATCAAAACCCCGGAAATGAATAATTCAGTTTCGGTTTTTATAAATGTTTGTTTCCAAAGTCCTGCATCTTCAATATTTTCTTTTAAGGACCATGCACTTTACATCTGAAATTCAGACGACAAAAATCAATTTGCAATATTTCTGAGTGATTAAATTCTAAAAACAATAAGACGGGGAACAAATAGAGCAAGACATTCATTTGGTAAAGGATCACTCTGATTTAATGGTTTATTCTGAATATCTGATGTTTCCCCGGTTCTCTCACCGAATTCCCGGGTTTTTCCGGCTACTTTTCAAATTCTTGGATATTTCCTGGGATTCCCGGTTTTCCCGGTTTGCTGACCACCCTGATTGCAAGTTTTATCGAGATTTTAAAGTATTCTACAAGTCTAATGAATGGTCTAAAGCGCACTCATATAACCAGAAATGTAACTTGGGATGGCTCTGACTGTATCAATCTTAAAAAAAAACATAAATTCAGCATTTCATCTTTCAATTCATCGATCACATTTCCAACCTTTGGATCAAAGGTACTGGGGTAACATCCACTAACGATTCCCTTTCTCTACCCATCTCCCTCCAAACAGATCGCACACCGATGCATCTTGCAGCGGAGAACGGTCACGCGTCAATCATCGAAATCCTGGCGGACAAGTTCCGGGCCAGCATCTACGAGCGCACAAAGGATGGTAGTACGTTGATGCACATCGCTTCGTTGAACGGTCACGCTGAGTGCGCTACGACGTTGTTTAAGAAGGGTGTCTACTTGCACATGCCGAACAAGGGCGGTGCCCGGAGTATCCACACGGCGGCCAAGTACGGGCACGTGGGCATCATCAGCACCCTGCTGAACAAGGGCGAAAAGGTCGACGTGCCCACGAATGTAACTAGGAATCCGGCGGGGAGGTGCGATTGCGGAATGACCGAATGATTCTTTCTTTTTCCAGGACAACTACACTGCCCTTCACATCGCTGTTCAATCCGCCAAGCCAGGCGTCGTGGAGACGCTGCTGGGGTTTGGTGCCGAAGTGCACGTCCGGGGGGGAAAGCTGAAAGAGACTCCACTGCACATTGCCGCCCGGGTGTCGGACGGGGACCGGTGCGCGCTAATGCTGCTCAAGTCCGGAGCCGGTGCCAACAAAACGACTGGCGACGGCCAAACGCCCGTTCATGTAGCTGCCAAATATGGGAACGTGCTGACGATGGATCAGCTGCTGGAGGATAATGGCGATCCGCTGATCAAGTCCAATGTAAGGGTTTACATGAGTATTGTGTTTGAGAATTGTTATGACAGTTGTTTATTTTGACAGGTCGGCGAAACACCACTGCACTTGGGTGCGCGGAACTGTCATCCGGATATAGTGAGGCATCTGATAGATTTCGTATTGCAAAAGCATGGGAAAGAGGTGTTGAAGAACTACTTGAACTTTACCAATGAAGATGGAGCGACGGCGCTGCACTACGCCTGTCAGGTGATGAAGAGTGAGGTGAAGTCGGGTTCGGGCGATCGAGAAATTGTGAAGATGCTGATCGAGAATGGGGCAGACGTATCGCTGGCGACAAAGTCCACCCAGGAGACATGTTTTCACGCGGTTTCCATAGCTGGTAACAACGATGTCCTTTCAGAGATGATTACCCACCTTTCGACTACGGATATCCAGAAGGCTATGAATCGGCAGTCATCGGTTGGTTGGACACCGCTGTTGATCGCGTGTAATCGAGGTCACATGGATTTGGTGAATACCCTACTAGCCAACCATGCGAGGGTGGATGTGTTCGATAACGAAGGCCGATCGGCGCTGCACTTGGCGGCCGAGCATGGCTACCTACAAGTCTGTGATGCACTCATTACCAATAAGGCGTTTATTAATTCTAAGTCACGAGTCGGTCGAACGGCTCTCCATCTGGCCGCTATGAACGGGTACACGGAATTGGTCAAGTTTTTGATCCGAGACCACAATGCGGTGGTGGACATTTTGACCTTGCGGAAACAGACTCCGCTACATCTGGCCGCAGCCAGCGGGCAGATGAATGTATGTAAGCTACTACTAGAACTAGGTGCCAATATCGATGCGACGGACGACGTTGGCCAGAAACCCATTCACGTGGCTGCGCAGAACAATTACTCCGAAGTTGCCAAATTATTTCTTCAGCAGCACCCAAACCTTGTGATGGCTACGAGCAAAGATGGCAATACTTGCGCTCATATAGCTGCCATGCAAGGCTCGGTGAAGGTGATAGAAGAACTGATGAAATTCGATCGGAACGGTGTGATTTCAACGAGGAACAAGCTGACCGACTCGACCCCCCTACAGTTGGCTGCGGAAGGCGGCCATGCGGATGTCGTGAAGGTCCTTGTTCGAGCGGGGGCATCCTGTACCGACGAAAACAAGTCAGGTTTCACTGCCGTCCATATGGCGGCAAAAAACGGGCACGGCCAGGTGCTCGAGGTTATGCGGAGCTCTAATTCGCTAAGGGTGTCCAGTAAAAAATTGGGTTTAACGCCGTTGCACGTAGCTGCCTATTACGGTCAAGCGGACACCGTGAGGGAGATACTCATCAACGTACCCGCAACGGTTAAATCTGATTCTCCATCTGGAACATCATTAGTACCTGAATTAGGGAATGAGTCTGGGCTGACTCCGCTGCATCTGGCGGCGTACTCCGGCAACGAGAACGTTGTCCGACTGCTACTCAACTCCGCTGGTGTTCAAGTCGATTCTGCGACTACCGAAAATGTGAGTATCCTTTCTTTTTTTATCAACTCAAGCTGGATTGAGACATCTGATTCTGTTCCGTTCCTTAGGGTTACAATCCCCTGCATTTAGCGTGCTTCGGTGGGCACGTTCCGATCGTGGGACTGCTGCTGAGCAGATCTGCCGAGCTTCTGCACAGTGTAGATCGGCACGGGAGAACCGGTCTGCACATAGCGGCTATGCACGGACACTACCAGATGGTGGAGGTCATGCTGGGTCAAGGTTCGGAAATCAATGCCTCCGACAAGAACGGCTGGACTCCACTGCACTGTACTGCCAAAGCCGGTCATCTGGATGTCGTGAAGCTGCTGGTGGAAGCCGGTGGTTCACCCAAGACGGAAACCAACTACGGCTGTGCACCGATTTGGTTCGCTGCATCCGAAGGCCACAACGACGTGCTCAAGTATCTGATGCACAAAGAGCACGACACCTACTCACTGATGGAGGACAAACGGTTCGTCTACAATCTGATGATCGTCTCTAAGAATCACAACAACAAACCGATCGAGGAGTTTGTTCTGGTTTCCCCCGCACCCGTTGATACTGCCGCAAAGTTGTCAAATATTTTTATAGTTCTATCGACTAAGGTAAGTTGAGCCAATCCAATCGCATGCTGCCTCACGCACTTGTTCACCATTCTATTTACAAACACCAACCCACCAACTCACCACAATAGGAAAAGGAACGAGCCAAAGATCTGATCGCTGCCGGAAAACAGTGTGAAACGATGGCTACCGAGCTCCTGGCGCTGGCCGCCGGTGCAGACTCGGCAGGTCGTATTCTAACTGCCACCGATCGACGGAACATGGAGTTTCTCGACGTGCTGATCGAGAACGAGCAGAAGGAGGTGATCGCTCACACGGTGGTGCAAAGATATCTACAGGTAAAAAATAGGTAATCTTTTAGTGTGAAGCGAAAAACAAAAGCAGAAAGCCTGCATGAGATCCATATTTGCACCTACACGACACACTTCCGTCACAGTAGACACCAAGAGTTCATTTGAAGTTTGGTTAAGGTTGCACTTCGGATTGTCAGACAACTCGATCGAGAATTGCGTTGCATGAATTTCTACTTCACTTTGGGGGATCGGACATATTTCGAGAAGATGCGAACAGTTTGAAAAGTTGTTGAAGATTGTGGGCATCCAATGCATTAGCACTTCCAAGGTTTGCTAATCATTCGTGTGCTTGAGACAGTTGACGATGAAGTATAATTTCTTCGACTTGAGCAGGATGTGACACGCATATTCTAGGCCAGTGAATGTGATGTCACATCTTCATCTTCGCGAAAGTAAACGGTGTAAATACAATATGATATTAATAACTAAATTTAATTTAATACAGTCTTCCAACATTGTACTCCAGCACGTAAACAAAACCTTTTACAAGCAGCCTGTGATCAAAACCAAAAGCAAGATACTGCTTTTTGAGAACAGGCAAAAGTTTACCAAACATTAACTACATCGTATGAGTTAAATTCACTACCTTTTTAACATCCAGATAAATAGTCTTCAAAAATTCTTCTTTCGTTCAAATTCATTTGACAAGCTTTGGAACGGCATATGAACCCGACAGGCAAGGCAGGTAATCAGTGCCGAATAATTACTAGCAACGCTGTTGGTAAACGTTCCTGTTCTGTTGCATAATGCTACGGCAAATGAATATGAATGAGAAATTCACTGCTTCACTTTATAAGAGTAGATCCGTTCACGCACATATGTAATTGAACTTTTCAGTGGAGTTTTCCTAGATAATTGTGTGAATTGTCCTGTGTGGTGCCAGCAGCAGAAAAACAAGTTCTGGTGAATTCCAACAGAGTATCGTGGATCCACCCGACATACTGGTTCAACTAGCGGAAAGGGGTTTGTCTGGTCACATTCTTCACTTTTTAGGAAACTTCCTACGACACATCCCTTCGCAACCTGGGTGTACGTCTGGATCGATAACTCACGTTTGGCAGCCACAGAAGAGCTGCCAAACAAGGATTGACCTGCTACGTACCCTTGCCAGGATTGCATGCGTGGCCACAGCGGTGGTACATTCAAGATTGACCCACGGGATTGAGTTGACCTGCCTGTAAACTGATCAGATGAAATCCAGACAAGCTCCAGTATATCATCAGGCCATCAGAGTAACGGCTGTACTTCTCCGAGCTGGCTGTCTGCGTGGAGAGTAGAAGACTACCTTTAGAAAACAAATTGCAACAAATGTGTGTAGGAGAGCTATTAGTTTCGCGGAAAAGATAGAACTTAACCGACCAAGAGCTCCACCCGGTAGCCTGGGTTCACTGGGATGGAAGCTTGGACGATCAAGAACAAGTTCGGGGTGGAAACCAATTCTCTCACATTATTTGTAAGATGTGTCACCGAGCTCCAAGTACGACAACTACCAAACACGATACTCCAACGGATCACGAACCAGCGGGAAGGTTTCTTGTGTTGAACACTCAGCGTTCTCCACCGACTTCTGGATCCTTGTAGTGTCTTCTCCCTAGCCCTAAAAGCCTCTATAATAGAGAAAACATAAGTTGCATTGAGACAATGCAGATGGTTTTAAGTAATTTGTAGAAGTAGCGCCCGTAATTGTAATGTAGGAATGTATAACTGCATGTACAGTAGAGCGGCTCTAAATAGGTAAATCCTGGAATTTCAAACGCTACCCCCTGGAATGGTAGTTTGGGGGGTCAGAAACACCCTGCTAAAATTTGAAGTCATTTGGTTCACGAGAACCCTTGCTCAAAGTGCTTGAAGTTTATGAAGTATGGGAAAAATCGACAAAAAGTATGGGGAACGAGCCACTTTCACACTCACGGCTCTAGCTGGCAATGTAGTAGGTAGAATTTTTTCGTGTACACAATGTAGAACCTTTGGAGCATTGGGAAAATCTTGTCTGAAGATCGGATCATCGAACAGACATACGAATAGCAATGTTTACATGGGTATAACTTTTTTGTTTCACCATGAAATTGGCTGAAATTTTCACAGTAAGTAGAAAACGTAGGTTGCAAGCCTCGATCTTTTGTCACTGGAACGACGCCAGCCAAACCATCCCGCGTTGATCAGCTACTTCCATCCGCTTTAAAATTAGACACAAGAATGCGAGACAAGCGACTAGCCAGCCTGAACCAGCTCGATGAACCAGTCATCCATCATTTTGCACTCTTCTTTCCCAGAGCATCATAACAATCATTTATTCTATCTCCCTGTTCTGATGTCTGATGTCGTCATTTGTGTATTCGGAGCTTTCCGAAGCTCATACTCAACTGCTCTCGGCGCGTATGAATCGTCTAGTTATGTTTTGTGTGTCTACTCCCAGTGTTGCCAAATGCACTTTGTCGACTTCACACGAAATTAAAGTAAATTAATTTTTATTTTATATCAATCATATCACATACACTACACACACCTCAATTCGTGCCGAGTTATTAGTTGTGCCAAAAGCTGTGCCAAGCGCTCTGCCAAACGTACATATCAAGGACAATCAAAGTATGCTTATCAAGGTATTTGGCAACCATGAACGTTATGACTTTTGTTAGAGTCGGTGTATAATGAGTCACGCCAAGAGTGAAGCCAAGTCTACCTATTGAACTGTCAAACTGGCTACCTACACGCTAACTTCTGCTTACTCACCAGGTGAGTCGATCGTACTCACTTTCGTCCGATGTATCGAGTTGTCAAAAATTGAGTAAACGAGAAATGTCAAACTGAGTAAAAACCACTCAGTCAGCAAAATCCTAGACTTGGAAAAAATGCCAGTCATGTCGGAGGAAACCTCATAGAAAATGTTACTCAAAACTTGCTGAAAGTAAGTACGAATTGCTTAGGGAAACGGTGTTGGACCGGTTTTTGCTCCGGGAGAATGAATCCGGAGCAGGCAATTTCCATTTCCTTTAATAAAAATCAAAACAAAAACTCTCCCTGCAACTGAAAATAACGGTGAGTGGATTTGACTCAGTCTACGTGAGAACGTAGTTTACTCAAAAGTGAGTCAACATAAGACTACTCAATTTTGAGTAGCCATACTTGCCGCTGAGATGAGTACATTCGACTCAATTTTGAGTTGACCAGAATAAGCGTGTATCGTGCAAAGTAAACAAGCATTACGATGCTATGAAAGGTCCACGAAAGGTATTGCAATTAAATATAAAATATAATCGAAGAAATGATCATATACACGCAGTGAGCATTACATTTGTCATGCGATACGTTTTATAATGATCTGTAATGACAATTTCTACTATTTTTCTTTACGATAATTCGACAAAATCACTGATATAATGATTTACTACAGCCGTTAATTTTTTTTTCCTCGCTTGAAGTTATTTGAAGTTGATGCAGAAGTCCTCTGTTGCCAAGTTAAAAGAAAGGGAATCTTTCAAAAACCGTGATGCGAGTTCAACTGTTTTTCTCTTGGCGTGACTCATTATACACCGACTCTAACTTTTGTAATTTTGTTTACATTCTCAATTTCTCTGATGGATCATGGCAGACATTCACTTCCATTCTCATTAGAGCGTTAGTGGATCGGGAGGTTTAAGAGGAACTGCAATCCATCAAACCAATACGGTGTACAAGCATAGTTCAATCCCATGCTAGGAGCAACATCGTCGAACCAGTTTTAAATCAGCTGATCGACTCAGAAGTGCGTTTCCTCAAAGATATAACCCAAGCCTATCGTATCGCTGATTATGATGCCTTCCCCTGAAAAACTGTAATGTTTTGAAAATAGGATTCTCAGCCACCGCGGACTTCAGCGGAAGCGTTGTATCCGGCGCCTGTAGATCTGTATAGAACTCGAAAAGATTCCGCCCAATCCAGCCAGCTCCACACATATGACACACGTAGGCGATTCGTGATTCAATAGCATATAGCATTACAGATACACCTTTCAATAAGTCCTGTGGTTATCCTATCAAAGTCCACACCAATTATAACTAATGATTGACAATAATATCCGAGGAAAAACGCAGGAGAAAATGTGAAAATTTCCGTCCCGTAGATACTCGGCAAGATCGGGAGCCAAATCTGGCCGACCCCTATGATAAGCTTGTTTTCTTCTTGATTTTTCATTATGCATAACAAAATTGTTGATGTACCTACTATATAGATGCTCGATGTTCATCGTTCCACAATTAAATCCGATCTTCGCAGGATACATAGTAGTCTTCTGTTCGTACGAATAACAGCATAGTGTAGGTGTTCTGCCATCCCGTTATATAGCTGGGATCCATTTGCTTTATATTGATAACATTGTTGGTGTGGCCATTAGAATTTACCATCAAAGGCAACCGACGGGCATTTTTCACAATGATTTCCTCAATCCAAAATGAATCATCTCTAGAGGAAACCCGTTTCAGCCGTCTTGACGGCTCTGGACCGCCATGGTGTGTACATAAGGGAACTCGACTGAAGTGAGGCCCTGATAGAAGCTGTTCTAGATGAAAACATGATCCACTGTGATTTTTGCTGTGATTCGGAAGAGACGGACTTAGTTTTGCTAGGTTTGAAGAGATTCACGATTCAGACAATACTTACAGAATTTTGGAACACCGGTGGGTATCCGTTTGTCGTTTACAACTTCTTGATTGAATCCTTGTATCACCAGTATGTATGACATGCTCTCACTAGTTTCATTTGCGAGTAAACAAAGTATTGATCCCTAGTAAACCTTAGAAACGATTGGAAAAATGTCATCACTCAATAGTGATGCCGTTTTATATTATATTGTTTGTGTCCTACTTGTCAAAGTGTGCCCTAATGTGCCGAACAGTGTGTCATGCTGTGTTTTAGCACAGTTTGCAGAGTTGATTGCCCCTTGCAATATTCTTTATTTCTGAAATTTTGTTAATCAAATGGTTGACTCTTCGACAAATAGAAAAGGAAAC